ACCCGGGGTGTCTGTGAGTTTCTGTGGAGCCCAGATGAGTGTCTCCAGTACAGTAGGGACCCACCCTCGCTGTGGGCAGCACCACCCAGCCCATCCAGATCTCGGAGAGAACAGGGCCACAGGGCAGGGGGAGCTCGGGGCTCTCATGGAGCCTGTGTGTCTCAGTGCTCCCCCTCAGGCTCAGAGCCCCCGGTGCTGTGGCTTTTCCACTCTGCAACTCACACCCATGACCTGAGACGACCAGCTGCAGCCTTGAGCCAAGAACCCCGGCGACTCCTTGTGCAGGGTCCTGCGGACTTGGTCTGTGTCCGCTCCAAGCTCTCCTGGGTTCTTATGGGCAGATGGCCACCCCTGGGACTTGGCAGCCCCCATTACAGGTGAGCCCCTCCCCCTGACAGACCCCTTCACCTGCACCGCCTCTTGCGCCATGTGTTTGGCTCCCAGGGAACTGTGGCTGGACCGGATTCTGAATCCTCTGGGGAACATTGCTGGGTGGAGAGGTGGGGAGAGACGGGGTTGGGATTTCTGTGGTTCTGGAAGCTCCCAGGTGGGTGGGGGTCAAGGACCTCAGTCAGGCGTCCTCAGAGCCTCTGTGGATCCTTGCTCTGGACCGTGAGAACCAAGAGGGCCCATGTGTCTGGGTGGACGGAGACCTGGGAGCTGCCCCTTGCACAGGGGTCCACTGACCAGCTGCAACTAATGGGGCGTGGTAGTGGGCAGCTCCTCCCACCCTCGCCCTGGAATTAGAACCAGCTGTGAGCTGGAAGGAGCAGTCCGGGCATGTCCCCGGGGAGATTCAGGTGTTAAGCACTAGGAATATTGTATATTGAGTAACCTGGGTCCCAGGACAGGTTGCGTCTGGGTCTTGCGGTGGTGTGGGTATTTCATGAGTTGTGAGCATGGGCATTGCTAGGAGCAGGGGTGGGGTGAGGGTGTCCTCTTGGGGCAGGGGCAGCAGGACACTGATTAGGCCCCAGTTAGGTTCTGCCTTGTCAAATTCCAGTCCCCTCTGACACCCACACGTGGACGTGGGGAGGTCTCAGGAGAATGGGTGCCTTCTGGGTCTGCAAGGTGCAGGGCCACCCTGAGGGCAGGACCAGGAGTGCGCTCTGGGCTGAGCTGGTGGCCTGGTGCTTGTGCCTCCTGTGCCCAGGGCCGGCAGGAGGGGCCAGGGCCACGGGCAGTGGAGAGAGGGAGGTGGACAGGTCTTCTGTGTGTCCTGTGTGCTGTGGCCGTGGGTGTGTGGTCCCGCCCTGGCAGGCTGCAGCTCCTCCAGGGTGGGGGCAGACACAGCACCGCCCTGGCTGACTCCTGCCCCCCACCCCAGGGTCCTCATCTCCAGAGGGGCGGCCTCGGCCTCTGCCAGCACCCGCACGTGTGTGCAGGAAACTGCTCAGCGCAGGGCACGCCTGGGCCCGAGGCATCCATGACGGGTTGTGGGGAGCCCAGCACCCTGGGGCTCAGTGCTCTGAGGGCTCCGGGGACTCCCACTAGAGGAACCAGGTGATGTCAGCTCCCAGCATCTGTCGCCTGGATGGCGTGTGGGTGCTGCTCTTGGAGACCCGTGTGGAGTGTGCCTCGTCCTCACTGCCCCAGGCACTGGACCCCATGGCTTCTCTGTCCCCCCGGGAGCAGCCTCTGCCTGGGAAAAACTTGTAGCCCTGGGTGGGTGCTCACGGATGTCCCTGCCTGGTTTGTAATTTATGACAGATGTCATGTCGAGAAATGTGCATGGAAAATTGTCAGGACTCAGTGACCATAATGGGCACTTGTGGTCACACAAGGGGAGTAGATTGCTGGAGCCTGGACAGGCAGCTTGGAGCTGCGCCTGGGCCTGGGTGGGTCCCAGCTCCAGTGCCTGCTACTACCTTGGTTTCCCACCCCCTGGGGCTCTGTTTCTAGGCTTGTCAAGCTTGCATGAGCAATAGGAGCCCCTGTCTTGGAGGGTGGCCCTCCACCCCGGGTAGCTCCCAGAATAGTTCCCAACTCTCCTGAGCTCCTTTGTGGTGCTGGGTCCTTAGGGGCCATGGGCAGCCTGGGCGGGGTTCTGGGAGCTGTCAGCCTCTGTGTGTCCTGGGGCTGTGGGGAAGCTGGCTCCTTCCTGTGACACCCACTGACCTTTCCTTTGTCCTTGCCCCTTCTCCCTGCCTCTGTCCCTCCCGTGTTGGAGGCCCCGAGCCTGATTCGGGGCTCTCTCCCCTTCTTTGTCCTCAGGGAGACTCAGGAGCAGCCAGGCCGAGAGCACCTGCACCTCCCAGAGTTCCCTCTTGTTCTCCTGACACAGGGAAGCCCCAGTGCCTACTGTGGCCGTCTTCCCTTTGCTGACCTCTCGGCTGTGCCCCAGCCCAGGACTTCTGGCTCTCTGCGTGTCCCACATCCCATATTGACCTGACCCACAGCCCCCACACTGGGAAATGGTGGTGGTCCTCCTGCCTCCCAGGCTGGGGCCAGAGTGAGTGAGGTTATGGCTGCGAAGTTCCCAGCAGTGGATGAGCCCATAGGCGAGTTCTCAGGGCAGACAGAGACTGTGCTGGGGTCTCCCCTGAGATCCGGGACACCAGGAACTGCAGGAGCCCCCGCTGTGTGTTGCAGTGGATTCGTTTCTGAGAGGGAGAGCGCAGTGGGGGCAAGAGGTGCAGAGTCACCACAGACTCCAAGAGTCGGGTGAAAGCAGGCCTGAGGCAGGCAGCCTGCAGACTCGTTTATTTCAGGTGCTACAACAGCTTATATAGCCAAGGCAGCCAATCTGCTCAAGGGGCGGTCTATGCCCTAACCAATCACAGCCTGTAGCCAGGCAGTTTCTGAAGCCATCCAATCACAGCCTGTTGCCCGCGGCCATCTTGGCCCTGCCTTCTCAGTCCACCACACCTGCAGGCTCTGTAGGAGAGGTTTCCCCAGCAGGTTGCACACTGTGGCCTGTGGGATGGCCCAGGTCAGTTCTGTTTGCTGTGGGTTTTGTGTACAGAGTTAGTGGTGCTGACATTTCTGTCTCCTCTGTCTCCCTCTCTGCCCTCTCCATCTATTTGCCTTCGAATAAATATATAAATCCTTTTAAAGAAACAGAGAAGTGAGCAGCTGGGACGTGAACAGACACTGGTACGGGACGCAGGCCCCGTGAGCCGTGGCTTTACAGCTCCGTCACAGCACCGCTGACTTGAGTGACAGAACATTTGATGTAGCGTCGCGATGCCAGTGACGATGCACCATGGTTTGAGGCGGTCATTCAGGGGTTGAAGAGAAAGAGTGGATACATTGAGTCTGCAAAAGGCAAAATTATGAACGATGCTAAGACTAGAAATGAAAAGGTTTCAAAATATTCTACAGGGTTTAATTTCAAAACACTAAAATCACACTCTTCAACCTGAGAAAGAATTTCTCTTTTCTTTTTTTTTTTTTTAAAGTGGAAAGGTTCCTGTGCAAACCAGCAGAGGGCAGCACCGGCTGTTTCCTGCTCTGACATCAGAAGGCACCATTGTGACATTATGCCCGCTGCCTGCACAAAGCACCTCCCAGAGTTCCCTCTTGTTCTCCTGACACAGGGAAGCCCCAGTGCCTACTGTGGCCGTCTTCCCTTTGCTGACCTCTCGGCTGTGCCCCAGCCCAGGACTTCTGGCTCTCTGCGTGTCCCACATCCCATATTGACCTGACCCACAGCCCCCACGCTGGAATATGGTGGTGGTCATCCTGCCTCCCAGGGCTGGGGCCAGAGTGAGTGAGGTTATGGCTGCGAAGCTCCCAGCAGTGGACGAGCCCATAGGCGAGTCCTCAGGGCAGACAGAGGCTGTGCTGGGGTTGTTATATCTTAATGTTAGCCGTCGCAAAGCACACCGGACACCGGAGTAAGGGAAAGGGTTTATTGGGAACACCCTACAGACCGGAGTGAAGGGGTGGCGAAGGAAAAAAGAGAGAAAGAGAGTCTAAGAGAGAGAAACAGAGAGGAGGGGAGCTAGCAAAGAGAGAAGATAGAGCAGAGAAGAGGAGAGAGGAGAGCGGAGAGTGGAGAGCAGAGTCAAGAGACCAGAGGAGGAGGCTAGAGAGCAACTGAGAGAGAGCAGGAGAGAAGGGGCAAGAGAACACGTGTTCAGGAACAGGCCCTTTTAAAACTTTGCCTGAGGGCGGGCAGAGAAGCAGGAGCAGCCAATCCCATTAGGATGGGGGTGGAGCCTGGCTCAGGTAGCTGGGCCATGCGGCCAACTGCGCCAGTTTCCTAACAGGGGTCTCCCCCGATATCCGGGACACCAGATCTTGCAGGAGCCCCCCACCCCCTGCATGTTGCAGTGGATTCGTTTCTGGGAGGGAGAGCGCAGTGGGGGCAAGAGGGCGTGGAGTCACCACACAGACCCCGGGAGTCGGGTGAAAGCAGGCCTGAGAGAGGCAGCCTGCAGACTCGTTTATTTCAGTTGCTACAACAGCTTATATAGCCAAGCCAGCCAATCCGGTCAAGGGGCGGTCTATGCCCTAACCAATCACAGCCTGTGCCAGGCAGTTTCTGAAGCCGTCCAATCACAGCCTGTTGCCCGTGGCCATCTTGGCCCTGCCTTCTCAGTCCACCACACCTGCAGGCTCTGTAGGAGAGGTTTCCCCACCAGGTTGCACACTGTGTCCTGTGGGCTGGGCCAGGTCAGTTCTGTTTGCTGTGGGTTTTGTGTACAGAGTTAGTGGTGCTGACATTTCTGTCTCCTCTGTCTCCCTCTCTGCCCTCTCCATCTATTTGCCTTCGAATAAATATATAAATCCTTTTAAACAAACAGAGAAGTGAGCAGCTGGGACGTGAACAGACACTGGTACGGGACGCAGGCCCCGTGAGCCGTGGCTTTACAGCTCCGTCACAGCACTGCTGACTTGGGTGACAGAACATTTGATGTGGCGTCGCGATGCCAGTGACGCTGCACCATGGTTTGAGGCGATCATTCAGGGGTTGAAGAGAAAGGAGTGGATACATTGAGTCTGCAAAAGGCAAAATTATGGAAGATGCTAAGACCAGAAATGAAAAGGTTTGAAATATCCTACAGGGTTTAATTTCTCAAAAAACTAATATCACTCTCTTCAACCTAAGAAAGGATTGTGCAGTCTTTGTCTCACTCAAGTGGAAAGGTTCCTGTGCAAACCAGCAGAGGGCAGCACCTGCTGCGGTTTCCTGCTCTGACATCAGAGGGCGCCATTGTGACGTTATGCCCGCTGCCAGCACAAAGCCTTGGCTTGGCCTGGGTTCTGTCATTGGCCCAGGAAGCACTGTCCCGGTGACCCAGGGCTGGGAACAGCTGCCTGTTTTTCCCTTGTTTGGTTTATGTTCCTCCTGCTGCTGTTTTAGTCAAATTTGTTTTTTCTTTTTCCATTTTGATTATTTTGTTTTCTTATTTATTTTGTTTATTTTTTTCCTCCAACATTTATAGTCTCTTGTCGCTTTCTTATTGATTTTCCTAGGATATTTCATTTATTTGGATTTCTTGTCACTTTTTCATTGGCTTTCCTCATGTTGGTGGTTGTTCTTTATATTTTCTCCCATTGTTGGGTTTCCATTTTTTCACAATGTGTTTTTTTTTCTCTTTTTTATTCCTTTTTTTAAAATAAGACCGTGAGACCATCTGCATTACTTGTTATATAGTTCAGGTTCTTGGGATTTTTTTCTTTATGCTTTATTACTCATTTATTTGTGTTTTCTCTTTTAGCTGGTTCCACAGGGTTAGTCTCAGTTGTGAGTCTAGTTGAGTTCATTTAGTCCATGTTTTCTGTTGGTGATGTGAGCTGAGTTTGTCCATTTTGTGTTTTGAGTTCTGTTCATTTGATTTCTATTTGTTTCATGTTCGTTTGTGCTCAAGGAGTCAGAGCTGTGAGAGCTGATCTGTGTCAGCTGCTGGCTCGGGGTCTCCCAGACGTCAGCCCTGCTGACCCTTCCTGGGGGAGCCCTGGAGAGGGAGAGGAATCCGGAGGAAGAATCGCATCCTGCGGCTCCTGTTTGGTCAAATTTGTTTTTCTTTTTCCATTTTTGATTGCTTTGTACTTTTTCTATTATATTTTGTTTCCTGCCACCATTCATGTTCATTTTGTGTTTTCTCATTTAACATTTTATTCCATAGAACAGTCTCCGTTGTTGGTGTGGTGTAGTACACACAGTTCATGTTTTCTGTTGGTAACGGGAGCAGAGTGAGTTTGTTCATTTTTGTGTTTTGATTTCTGTTCATTTGATTTCTGTTGTTGCATTTTCATTTGTGCACCACTCGTCTCCCTTCCTGGGAGCCCCGGGAGAGGGAGAAGAATCCCGAGGCCAGAATCGCATCCTGGATGGGGACTTCCTGGGGCGGGACTGACTGCGGTCCCCCAAGCCCTCTGTGTCCCCAGTGGCTCCCGCGTCCCTCAGCAGAGCGGGGCAGGAGGTGTCCATGGCGGCTCCTGGATGAGCTGAGAAGGCTGTCAGGTGGGACAGGTGCTGTCTGCACGGGGGTGGGAGAAAGGGTTGTTACTGCGAGGTTCTGCCTGCGGGGGACTCTGTTGGGGTCTCCCATGTCTGCAGGGGAGGGGTGGTGGCAGTGCAGGCCCCTCTCTCCCCTGCACAGGTAACTACTGCCCAGTCCGGGTGGCTCTACAAGGTTTAGGATCCAAAGAAGCCCAGAAACATGATCTGCACCAGCAAGAAGACTTCCTGTTGAAGGACCTCTTGGTGGTAAGGGACTCCCCCACAGCGACAGGAACCAGGGACCAGGTTATGTCATGACAAGGCCACATTACTCGCATGTAAGCTTGTCCCTGGCCAAGCCCTCTGACCTCTCAACTCCAGGAGGGTCCTGGGGCCACCAACGGGTCTACACGGCAGATGCTGCAGCTCAGCTGTGTCTCTGGTGCCCCCAGGTCACCACGATCTTCCATGGGAAGATGGACTCCGAGACGCCCAGCTTCAGAATCCTCGCCCTTCCAGTAGAGGAGTCGAAGGTCCCTCATCCTCGCTGCCCCAAGGACTGGATCCCTTGGCTCCTCCATCCCAGGGGAGCAGCTGCTGCCTGGGAAGAACTTAGTTGCCTCTGTTGGTGCCCATGGATTGCCCTGCACTACTGCCTCTGTGCCTAGAGTTAACAGATTTATGAGTTAACAGAAACCCATGAGATCAATAAATTGTGAATGGAAAAACATGAAGGACTTAGTGTTGGTTTTGGGCACCTGTGGCCTCACACGGGGATCAGAGCACTGGGAGCCTGGAGGAGGCAGCTTGAGCCACACCGGGTCCAGGGCCTGGGCTGAGTCCTGGCTCCACTGCCCGCTGCTGCCCACCTTGGTGTCCCTGCCCCTTGGCCTCTGATTCCATCTCTGTCAAGGGGGTGTGAGCAATAGGAGCCTCTGGTTGCAATGTGGCTGCCGCGAAAAGCACCCAGAATAGTTCCCACCTCCCTTGGCTGCTGGGTAGTGCTGAGTCCTTAGGTGCCATCACCAGCCTGGGCGAGGTTCTGGAAGCTGTCAGCCGTCTGTGGGTCCAGGGAATTGGGGGAGGTGGCTCCTTCCTGTGCCCCCCAGGCCTTTCCTTTGTCCTTGCCCCTTGTCCTTGACTCTCTGTCTCTCCCCTGTTGGAGGCCCCGAGCCTGATTTGGGGCTCTCTCTCACCTTCTCTGTCCTCAGGGAGACCCAGGAGCAGCCAGGCCGGGAGCACCTGCACCTCCCAGAGTTCCCTCTTGTTCTCCTGACACAGGGAAGCCCAGTGCCTACTGTGGCCATCTTCCCTTTGCTGACCTCTTGGCTCCACCCCAGGTCAGCAGTCCTGCCTCTCCTGGGTGTCCCACATCCCACACTGACCTTACCCGTGGCCCCCTCCCTGAGATGGTGGTGGTCACCCTGCCGCCCAGGGCTGGGGCCAGAGTGAGTGAGGTTATGGCTGCGAAGCTCCCAGCAGTGGATGAGACATCTGAGGAGTCCTCAGGACAGAGGCCGTGCTGGGATCTCCCCAGACATCTGGGACACCAGGAGCAGGCAGGAGTCCCCCTGCCGTCTTAGGAGAAGTTTGCACACACCAGGTTGCAAACTGCCAGCCCACGGGCCGGACCTGCTCCCTTGAGTTTGCTGTGGTTTGTGCTGTGTGCAAAGTTGTGGTGCTGAGGTTGAGATCTTCAGATACCACAGAGCTGTCGGGGCTTCTCTGGGCACAGGAGAAGTTGTGGCAGCACCAGGCCCCAGGGTCTATGGCCCCAGTGGCTGCATGTGCTCAGACACGCCCCCGCCCTCTGCAGGTGCCCCCAGAACCCCTGGCTGGGAGAGGCTGGGGTTGGTTTGGCCAAGAACCTTTCCACGTGCAGTGTCTGAGACTCGGCCAGGTGATTCCCACTGACAGAGCCGCGCTGCTGGGGACTCAGAGCCCCAGAGTCCACAGGCGTGAGGAGCACAGGTGAGCCTGGACCTAGGCTGTCTTGGTGCTGGGTGCCCACCCCTCCCCCACTGGCTCCCTGTGGAGCTGGGCCTCTGCCTCAGGCTCAGCTTGCATTCACAGCCTCAGCCCCACCCCTGCAGACCTGGGCTGTGGGCATTGGCCCCTCCTTCACAAACAGGGAAACTGAGGCCGAGATGAAGAGCCAGGCCCCTCCCCAGTGAGCGGTTCCTCCCAGGCCCAGGTGGCTGCTGATTCCTGCCCCACCCAGGGAGCAGCTGGGGCAGAGCCTGGGCGTCAGCACCCGGGAGCAGCTGCCAGACCTGGGCCCAGGGGCTCAGTGTGGAAGGAGACAGCTCCACCTGTGACAGTATGGGATTCCTTAGGCTAGCGACAGCGCATGGCATTTACTTGAGAAGCCCATTATAAAATAAAAAAGATTCATGTATCAGGAGCAGGTTCTGAAGACTCCATTACCATGAATTTTTTTAGCACCTGATAATGCTTCCCATGGGGTCCTTATTCTTCCTCCAGGAGGTAGAAAGAGGTGGCTGGGTGATGTTTAATTGAATTATAAATGTCCAAACAGAAGTCTCTTAGGATCTAGGTTCTGTGACTCTTTGTTGACCCTGGAGTCTGTAGGAAAGGTTTCCCACCAGGTTGCACACAGGTAGGCTGTGGGATGGCCCAGGTCAGTCATGTTTGCTGTGGCTCCTGCTGTGCACAGTTTGTGGTGCTAACATGGGGACCTTCTCTGTCTCCCTCTCTCTGTCCTTCTCCATCTGCCTTTGAATAAATAAATGAATCCCTTTAAAAAAGAAGTGGAGCAGCTGGGACGTGAACAGACACTGGTACGGGACGCAGGCCCCGAGAGCCGTGGCTTTACAGCTCCGTCACAGCACCGCTGACTTGAGTGACAGAACATTTGATGTAGCGTCGCGATGCCAGTGACGCTGCACCATGGTTTGAGGCGATCATTCAGGGGGTGAAGAGAAAGGAGTGGATACACTGAGTCTGCAAAAGGCAAAATTATGAAAGATGTTAAGACTAGAAATGAAAAGGTTTCGAAATACCCTACAGGGTTTAATTTCTCAAAACACTAATATCACAACCTAAGAAAGGATTGTGCAGTCTTTGTCTCACTCAAGTGGAAAGGTTCCTGTGCAAACCAGCAGAGGGCAGCACCTGCTGCGGTTTCCTGCTCTGACATCAGAGGGCACCATTGTGACGTCATGCCCGCTGCCTGCACAAAGCCTTGGCTGGGCCTGGGTTCTGTCATTTGCCCAGGAAGTGCTGTCCCGGGGACCTGGGGCTGGGAACAGCTGCCTGTGTTTCCCTTGTTTGGTTTTTGTTCTTCAAAGTGCTGTTGTTTTGGTCCAATTTGTTTTGTCTTTTTCTCTTTTGATTATTTTGTTCTTTTTTTTCTATTTTGTTTATTTTTTTCTTCCAGCATTCATATTCTTTTTTCCCTTTCTGATTGATTTTCCTTGGATATTTCATTTCTTATTTGGATTTTTTCTTCATTTTTTTCCTTGGCTTTCCTCTTGTTTGTGGTTTTTCTTTATATTTTCTCCCATTACTGGGTTTCCGTTTTTTCACTTTGAGTTTTTTTCTCTTTTTTACCCCCCCCCCCTTTTTTTTAAATAAGACTGTGAGGCTGTTTGCTTTCTTGTTATACAGTTCAGGTTCTTGGGATTTTTTCCTGTATGCTTTATTACTGATTTATTTGTGTTTTCTCACTTTTAACTGTTTCGATAGTGTTAGTCTCAGTTGTTAGTCCAGTTGAGTTCATTTAGTTCATGTTTTCTGTGGCGATGTGAACTGACTTTGTGCATTTTGTGTTCTGATTTCTGTTCATTTGATTTCTGTTTGTTTCATCTTCGTTTGTGCTCAAGTAGTCTGAGCCCTGAGAGCTGATCTGTGTCAGCTGCTGGCTCGGGGTCTCCCAGACGTCAGCCCTGCTGACCCTTCCTGGGGGAGCCCTGGAGAGGGAGAGGAATCCGGAGGAAGAATTGGATCCTGCAGCTCCTGTTGGGTCAAATTTGTTTTTTCTTTTTCCATTTTTGATTACTTTGTACTTTTTCTATTTTATTTTGTTTCCAACCACCATTCATAATCATTTTGTGTTTTCTCATTTAACATTTTATTCCACTAGAACAGTCTCCGTTGTTGGTCTGGTGTAGTGGATACAGTTCATGTTTTCTGTTGGTGATGGGAGCAGAGTGAGTTTGTTCATTTTTGTGTTTTGATTTCTGTTCATTTGATTTCTGTTGTTGCATTTTCATTTGTGCATCACTCGTCTCCCTTCCTGGGAGCCCCGGGAGAGGGAGAAGAATCCTGAGGCCAGAACCGCATCCTGGATGGGGACTTCCCGGGGAGGGACTGCCTGCTGTCCCCCAAGCCCTCTGTGTCCCCAGCGGCTCCCGCGTCCCTGAGCAGAGCGGGGCAGGAGGTGTCCATGGCGGCTCCTGGGGCCCGAGCTGAGAAGGCTGTCAGGTGGGACAGGTGCTGTCTGCACGGGGGCGGGAGAAAGGGTTTTCACTGGGAATTCAGCCTGCAGGGGACTCAGCTGTGGTGCCTCTGTGTGCAGGGGAGGGGCCATGGCAGTGCGGGCCCTTCTGTCCTGTTCACAGGGGCTCTGCTGGCCTGTCTGTGGTGGCTCTCCAAGATTCAAGACCCAAAGAAGCCCCAGAAACCTGATCTGCACCAGCAAGAAGACTTCCTGTGGAAGGACCTCTTGGTGGTAAGGGACTCACCCACAGCGGGGTGGGGTCACCCAGACAGCCAGGGTGTCCATTGGCTTTGCATCTGTGTGCAGGAATGGAGCAGGTGCATAGGGGAGGGGGAAGGACTCACACTGATGCCCATGGCCCTCCTTGGTCAGGGGAGAGTGCAGAGGGGCTGTGGGCTTCACCCCTGCAGGTGCTGGAGGCTCCATCAGCATGAGCCATCCCGCGTGGGCGCTGGCTGTGTGCAGCTCTGTACCAGGGTCTAAGGAGGGGAGAGGCCGCGGCAGCTCCTGACAGGCCCCATCTCTGCAGCAGCCGGGGGTTCCTCTCCTGAGACGTGGA